CCTTGGGGGAAACCCTTTAAATTTTTTTTAAAAAATTTTTTTGGGGCCCCCGGGCCCCCCTAGGTAATTTCTCCCCCTGCGGGGCCCGCACCCCGGGTTCCAATTTCCCGTTTCCCCTTTTTCCAGGCCAGCCCTCTTCTGTGGCCAGGGAGTGCCATGGAGGATGGCCCAGGTGCTTGGGCCCTGCCCCCCATGGGAGACCAGGAAAAGCACCTGGCTCCTGGCTCCTGCCATCGGATCAGCGCGGTGCGCCGGCCGCAGCACGCCGGCCGCGGCGGCCATTGGAGGGTGAACCAACGGCAAAGGAAGACCTTTCTCTCTGTCTCTCTCTCTCACTGTCCACTCTGCCTGTAAAAAAATATATATATATATATATATATATTTTTAAAAATTTATTTACTTGAGAGGTAGAGTTACAGACAGTGAGAGGGAGAGACAGAGAGAAAGGTCTTCAGTCCGTTGGTTCACTCCCCAAATGGCCACAACGGCCGGAGCTGAGCCGATCCGAAGCCAAGAGCCAGGTGCTTCCTCCAAGTCTCCCATGCAGGTTCAGGGGCCCAAGGACTTGGACCATCTTCCACTGCTTTCCCAGGCCATAGCAGAGAGCTGGATTGGAAGAGGAGCAGCTGGGACTAGAACCGGCGCCCGAATGGGATGCCGGCGCCACAGGCGGAGGATTAACCTGTGCCACGGTGCCGGCCCTGAAGCCTTATGATTTTTTAAGCTGGCTTCCCACAAAACCTCTCTTGGCTTTCTGAAAATGCTCCTGAGGCCCATGACTTGCAGTTGACCCCAGGAGGTGGCTGTGTGTTTGGGAGGGAGGTGTCCCAGGCTCGAAGGAGCCAGAGCCTTGACCAAAGCCATCTTCTGGCTCCTGGTGATGGCTGGGACATGAAGAGTGACAGTTCTGTACCATAGTTTGCTACTGTGGTTTCAGGGTTCATTTGTGATGTGGGCATAGCCTGCCTTGTCTTGGTTAACATGATGGCAACAAAATAGACATGCCCATAATCATAAATTTGAGGGATAAATGATTCAAAGTCCCTTGTGGTTACAGTTTGGGGACCTTAAAATGTAGAAGAATCAGTGTAAAGCCAATTCGGTTAAAAATCCAAGGAAATTATGTGTATTCCTTAAAGCCCCAGCTGGTCTTCCTTGTCATTGACTTGACAAATTCTCGGGAATGTTCTGCATGGCTGAGAGAGTCGGGGTTCCCCCAGCTGCAGCCTGGGTGCTTCCTTGTAGAGTGGGTTCCTTCAGGTCCTCTGAGGTTGCATTAGTGCGTTCTTGGATGTTCTTGGATGTTCTCAGATGTTGCTCGGTGTTTAGGCCCAGTGTATTCCAGGAACCCCTATGACTTACATTTAGGAAGCAAGGCCAGTGCCCTCCCTAGAGTGTCTTCCCACAGCCACATTCCTGGACTACACTATTACCACTGCCCCGAGACACAGAGTTTGCTCACAGAATCTGGGTGGAGGAACTGGGAGAATCTTTTTGTTTTAGTGGTGTCTGGAAGCCGGTGTGTGCTTGTGGCCTGGAATTAACCGGGCACCTCTCGTGCCAGGGCTGAAGGGGGCGCTCTGTGTCCCCTATCCAGGGAAAATTGTGTCTGCGTGCTCTGCTGTCTCACGCAGTGACACTTGGAGGCATCGCTGCCTTCCTGTGAATTGAGGACCTGGCTGAGCAAGGTGGCGGCCACCTGGCTGGCCAGCGGCCCTCAGCATGAGAGCCCCCGAGTCTTCCCTGGGGACTCCTGGGGGCTGTGGAAGCTGCTCGTGTCCTTCGATTGCTTTTCTGTGTGCTGTCCAGTTGCCCAGGTGTGTTCCAAGGTCCCGCTCAATGCCTGAAACCACAGCTGGTGCTGAGCCCTGTCTGTATTTGTACTGTGTTTTTCCCTGTACATATGCAAGCATGAGAAAATGTATAAAATAGGCACAGTAAAGGATTAGCAAACCAAACATAGAACAACTAGGCTGTAATCAAATTTATTTAAAACTTGCGAGTTGTTTGTTTCTGGAGTTTGCTGTTTAATATTTTTGGACCATGGCTGATTGCAGATAACTAAAACTGTGGAAAACAGAGCAAGAGGTGAGGGAGGACCCCTGTACCCTTCCTTGCTTAGTGAGATGCGTCATTTATGCCTGCTTTCCTCTTGTTGTTTAAAACAGAGCATAGAGAGCGAGTGGGTGCGCTCCATTCTGTTGGTTCACACCTGCAATGGCCAGTGCTGGGCCAAGGCTGGAGCCAGGAGTCAGGAACGCAACCCACGCCTCCCATGTGGGTGGCAGAGACCCAACACTTGATCAACACCATTGTCTCCCAAGGTGCAGTGGGAAGCTGGCGTCGGGAGATGGAGCCGGGTACTGGACTCGGGTGGAATACCTGGGCCACGCGTCCCTCCTCCTCCTGTTACTCTTCCGGATCTTTTCTAAAAGGTTCTGTGCTGGTCCTAACCTGCTGCTTGAGCTGACGTCTCCTTCTCTGACGCCTGCAGGGCTAGGCTGTAGAAGCGCAGGCCTAGATCTGTGTGCCGTCCAACAAGCCTTGCCGTTTCTGCCCAGACATTTGTCTAATATACTTCTCTAGATCTGGGCTTGTTGGCCTTCCAAACCACGAAGTCAGTGAGTTTAGGGTCTGCCAGTTCTATCTGCTGTGTGAATAAAGTGTTCATTTTCACACATTTTAACAAAACACAGATGCCTTATTGCAGACAGAAGTGTGCCTCCCTGCCTGGGAGGTTCCGGGTCAGACCAGCTTCTCACCCGGCCTGGCCGTGCCCTGCCCACGCAGTCTGGCCGGGTCTTCCCTTAGGGGCCATGCTGCACCCATTCCTCTATGTCTATGTGTGGAGAACTTGAACTTCAGCTAACAGTGCCTAGAGTATCCACCTCGCAGTCCACGGGCTTCCCCTCGCAACCATGTGCAGGGGTGTTGGTGGGCGCTCAGCACTGCCCCAGTTTTAGCCTCGTGCCTCAGTTACCCCAGCGACAGCATCCACCTGGCCGTCAACGTCGCCTCCCCAGAGTTTCCTGGGTCCTGGGCACTCGGCAGCTCAGGCTGCTCTTGCCCTGACGTGGTGGCTTCTCTCACGGACTGACTCGGGTCTCCCAGAGCTCAGACATCCCACCTGCCCCCACCCCCATCTTCTTTTTGGGCAGGAGAAGCCAGAAGCAGATTCTGAACCACTCAGGCTCCTCCTGGGCAAATTTGATTTTCTAGAACAGCATTTTGAGCACAAAAGTGAACAATCATTAGATGGTTCTACGTATGCTCACGTGGAGGTACGGGTCAGAGAACTGCGAAGCACGACCTACACACGACACGACTATGTATAACTTACTTAGATGTTTTCCAGATGCAGAGACTGGAATAGTAAACATCAAGCTGTGGATAATGGCTCCGGGGGGAAGAGACTGGTAGCAGGGCTGGTGGATGTAGGTGTCCACATTGCCTCTCTGCCCTTCCGGATGGTCTGAATTTTTTACAGTAAAAGAGCACTTGTGTTGGGGCCAGCGCTGTGGTGTAGCGGGTAAGGCCACTCCCTGCAGTGCTGGCGTTCCATATGGGTGCCAGTTTAAGTCCTGGCTGCTCCACTTCCGATCCAGCTCTCTGCTGTGGCCTGGGACAGCAGTAGAAGATGTCCCAAGTCCTTGGGCCCCTGCACCTGCGTGGGAGACCTGGAAGAAGCTCCTGGCTCCTGGCTTCAGATTGGCTCAGCTCTGGCAGTTGCAGCAATCTGGGGAGTGAACCAGCAGATGGAATTCTCTCTCTCTCTTTGTCTCTGCCTTTCAAATAAAATAAAGAAATCTTAAAATGAAGCACTTGCGTGTGATTTGTATAATTTAAAAAAATTCACTTGAGAAAGCTGTCAACTGATTCACTCCCCAGATGCCCACCGTGGCTTGGGTGGACTAGGAGCCAGGGCGAGGACCCAGCCGCCTGAGCCATCACCTGCTGCCTCCCAGGTGCATATTAACAGGCAGTTGGATTTGGGCGCAGTACCAAGACTCAAACCCAGGCCCTCCCACGTGGGATGTGGCATCTGAACTGGTGTCTTAATCACTAGGCCAAACTATCTCTGTATAATTTTTATTTAAAAGAAATTCCCCATGACTCAAACACACACACACACCCACCCACCCACCCACCCATGGACTGAAAATGTCTCCTCTGTCTCA